TCCTTGTCTCATTCCTGCTTTTAAAGAGAAAGCTTTCACGTTTTTGCCATTTAATATGATGTTACCGGTAGGTTTGTCATAAATTATTTTTGTCCGATTGAGAAAAGGTCCTTCTATACCTATTTTCTTCAGGAGTTTTATCATGAAGGAATGTTGGATTTATCAAAGAGCATATCTGTATCATTTGAAATGATTATGTGATTTTTCCCCCTTGCTTCAGTTTATCTGATATAGTACATTTGTTGATGTATATATGCTGAAGGTGAACTTCACCCTGGGATGAAGTCAACCTGGTCATGATGAACGATGATTTTCTGCATACTGTTTGCCAGGATCTTGTTGAGGATTTTTGCATTTGTGTTCACTAATCGGATTGGCCTATAATAATCTTTTTTGGTTGGGTTTTTATCTGATTTTGGAATCAGGGTAATACTAATTTCCAAGAATCACTTTGGGAGTACTTCATCCTCTTCCATTTCATTAAAGAGTCTGAGATATATTGGCATTAGGTCTTCCCTGACATTCTTGTCCCCTTCGTGTTTGCTGCTTCACAATATCTCTGGTGTGTGCTTCTCTTGAAAACTATGCTCCTCACTGCAGCCATACCCAGATGATTGCTTGACCTCCTTATGGAAGTTGTGCCTAAATTAATCACACCTCTGTGAACAACTCTTAGCGCTCCTCTACAAGCCTACTACTTAGTAGGTGAGCCCTACTTCTCAAAACATTCCAGGTTAATCCTATTTGTCATTTTTCAGGTTAATTCTACTCATTTTCCCCAAATCTAATTCCCTAAATGTATTCCAGCCACACTTCACCAAATCTTTTTACTAGCACGCCGTGTAGGAATCCTATAGTTTCATGCCACAGAAAACTCAAGTTGGATTTAACATTAAGGGGTTTTAGTAAGTCACATTAATTAAAAGTTTCAAAAATAATCTTAGCTGTAGGTGGTAGCACAGTGGGCTGTTCGTTATCATTGGAAGTTCTGTAAGAGTCACCACAACTGGTCTAGGAGTTCAAACAATATAACTAGTTGCTATGGTGTGGGTATGGTTTGAGTGGATTCCCACAGGCTCAATGTGCTAGAAGATTGGTTCTCACTGTAGTGATGTTAAGAGGTGGAATTGCCTTTCATAGTGGGAAGTAACTAGGTCACCGAGGGTGCTGCTTTTAAATGGAAAGAATTGGTACAGTTCTCATGAGACCCTGGTTAGTTCTTGTGAGAGCTATTATAAAGGAGTGAGCCTGACTCCTGAATCTCTCTCAGGCTTCCTATCTGGCCATATAATATCTCCCTCTGGCAGGTACTCCTGTCAGTGTAACACAGTCCACCATGAAGTCCTTACCAGAGCCAACCCACAGCCAATGCCCATGAACTTCCCAGCCTGTGAACTAAATAAACCTCTTATATCTACAAAATACTCAGCTTCAGCAACAGAAAATGGGCAAATATATTGGTATTCACATTCTGTATGTATATTTCTCAGTTCTAGTCTTTTGGTGTTGAGTACATTCTTGAGAAGTGCTGTTCACACCAATAGTCCATGAGGTTATATTTTTCCAGGTTCAGATCCAACATTGAAGAAAGTCTGTTTCCATGCAGCTTCAGTTAAGACCAGAAACTGGGTTTCATTAGGTCTGATTGGCTGACTGTTTTTTTCCATCCTGGAAATAATAAATTACTGTGGGCAAGATGAATACAGACTGGGGCCAGGGAGATAGCTCAGTGGTCTAAGCACCTGCCTGGCAAGTGCAAGGACCTGGGTTCGATCTCTGTTATCACATGCTGTGCTGGCCCCACCATGCTGGTCACCAAAACTGGGCATGGTGGCACACACCTGTGATCCAAGTGCTGGGGAGGCTGAGACAGGAGGATCACTCTGAGTTTGAGCTGCATAGCAAGACCCTGTACCAAATAAATAAATAAATTAATTAAAAGATAAAAACAATTTTAAAAGAGACAAATAACAGACTATCTTGATCATACTATCAAGCTAGCCAGGGTTGAGTAGCTAGCAGGATCAGGACCTGCAAGTTTTCTGCTGCCCAGCCTGTGACTGAGGTCACTTTTGCTCTAGAAGTGTAGATATTTTTATAGTAGGGTGTGACAAGTAGACTACAGGTACTGAGTGCTGTCTTATAAAACACAGGTCCTTTTTGACTTGAGGGTGAGGTCAACTGTACTGTGTCCTGAAGGTATTAAATTCATGGCACTATACTGATTAAAAGGGAGAATTAGGGCATATGTGCTGGGGAGTCCTTCAGTCAATGCCCACTTGCCAACCTCTCGGCTACCCATTTTCACTTCCACATGAAGCCCACACGATTCCAGCCAGGAGCCACAACTTCCTTACGAGGTTGGAATTCCTGCAAGGCCTTTCCTAAATACTTCCTCATCACACTGCCAGGCTGGAATCATGCTAACAAACAAATTCACTGTAAAGTTTAGAAATCTGGGAGATAGCTTATCATGTTCCCTTATTCTCTGACTTGGGTGTGAATTGCTTTTTAAGTAGGGCATGCTGATCAAATAAAATGAAACGCAAACATGGGATTCTTGGCATGTGACAGTGATGGAGAAGACATGTTTGGAGCTTTTTCACTGTATCCACCTCTTGCTTTCCCTGCCTGTGGAAAGGCCTGGGTATACTGTCTTTCTAACATTTGTTTCCCCTGCTAGAAGGCACAAAGAGGCCAAATCGACACCTTGTCATCTCTGAGTCAGCACATGCCGCCTTAGTCCTGAGATCTGACTTCTAATTCCATCTTCAGGTTTTCTCCCTGCCATCTCCCTCCCGTACTCAGTCTTTGCTTTTCTCTCCCAGCTGGGAAGCTGCCTTCCACAGACGGCTTCCCCCAGTTTCCCTTCTCATCTTATTTCTGGGTTTGATTGATAGGAGATTGGATTTCTAGTAGCAGATTGGAAGGTGGGAAAGTGAATGGTCTGGGATATTCCTGCTCTGTTCCTTCCCTGTTCTAGCATCACTTCTTGGCAAGAGCTGTGTCCCCTGTAGATACATCTTTCCCCATTCTCAGAGAACACTATTCTTCCCCTTGACCCTCAGTCTGGGAGCATTGATGGACTTCCTGCTGGATACCGCCTCTTGACTTGCTCTATATCTCAACTCTGCCTTCCCTTCTGAAAGGAGACCTGCATAAATGTCTCTTCATCCGAAACACCTATTGTGAATTCTATGTCTTGCCAGGCCCCTCACTGATACAACCCAACACTGGAAAGGGAAACAGTGGACACTCTGCTGCAAGGCAGACCCCTGGCCAAGCTTGTTCTCCAGTAGAACTTGGGGCTGAGGGATTGAGGCTGCCACTGCCTTGCTGCACAACTTTGGCCCTTTCCTTACGTCTCTCTGTCTCTCTGGGCTAAAGTGGCTTCAACTATCCAAGAAGGATTAGATTCGATGATCTTGTGTCACTATCCTGAAGGGAGTACATATTCTGTGGTCCTAAGTGTCAAGTTTGTACTATGATTTAATATTTATTCATTTGGTACAAGGTTTCACTATGCAGATTGGATTCCTAGTGATCCTCCTGTCTCAGCCTCCTTAGCACTGGGATTATAGGTGTGGGCCACCATGTCTGGTTTCGGTGGCCAGCCTGGCAAGGTTGGGGTTCTGGGGCTGGCATCGCATGCAGTACCAGGGACTGAACCCAGGTCCTTGCACTTGCAGACAGGTGCTTAGACCACCAAGCTAGCTCCACAGCCCCTGTATTATGGTTTAAGGGCACAGTTGACTTTTTTTTTAATCTATCAGGGCTTACTGTGTGGTGCTGGAATATCATCTCTAAAGGTGACTTACAAAAATGGGCTGGGGAGACAGCTTGGAGGCATAAGTGCCTGCCTGATAAGCTCAAGAACCCAGATTCAATCCCCAGGACTACATGTCATGCTGGTCCTGGGACTGGGCGTGGTGGCATGTGCCTGTAATTTTAGCAGTAGGAAGACTGAGACAAGAGGATTACTACAAGTCCAAACTGTACTGTAGACCCTGTATAAAAAAAGTGAGGGGCCTCAAAGCATCATGAGCCTGGCTAAAGTTCCTCCCAAGGGGCCACTTTGAAGGGAAGAGTGAAAGTATCTTACAAGGAAGAAAAAGCTAGACTGGGGCTTCAGCAGCATGCCGCGCTCCTCCTCCGGAAAGCCCCTGCCTACAGGTTGTACTGCACGGGCTTCAGACTCAGCAAGTCATGCACGGGTTCTTTGCAGTCCTCAGACTAGCTGTTGGTGACATAATCAAGATACCACTTGACTCTGGGCTGACTATTAGGCTGGGCAGAGCCTGCAGGTATCAGTGGGGGAAGAAAATGAAAGTGGGGGAAGTGCACAGCAAAGGGAAGATAATAGGAAGATGCACAGGAGCCCTTGGGTGGAAGAAAAAAGTAGGAGGGTGATTCGAAAGAGAATGCTGGGGTTTGGGTTGCTCTGTGTGGGTCTTGGGGCTCTTCGGTAGAAGCGGCCTCATTTGATGGTCACCTCAGTGCCCATTTCATAGATGAGTAAAAGAAATCTGACCAAAGCAAAAAAAGAAAAAAGAAAAAAGAAAAGAAAGAAAGAAAAACCAGCTGTGCCTTAGTTTCATTATTTGGGAAATGGTGTAAAGAGTGATCTTATTGTATGTGGACGCTGGAAGGCAAAGGTCTTGGGTTCAGTCTCCAATGCTGGAAAGAAAGAGAAAGTCCTTGAAACATACAAGGTGCATGTAGGACATGGCAGCTGTTATTCTGCCTATGATCATCCCAGGAATTTCTGTCTCTTTGCTCCAAGGAGAGATGACAAGTCTGGTTTCTTTGAAGCTTTAGCAGATTTCTCTTCAAGCAAGTTTTGGGAGAAGTCTGCTAGGCTCCCTCCTCTGTTCATTACTTTTGAGATTGCTGTTTCCTCCCTGTGGAACTCAGCCCAGCCTGGGCTGCTCGTAGCTGCAGGGTGTGGCTGGGGGTGGGAATTGGCAGGGTGCCTGGGTCTAGAGTATAAGGGAACCTAAGGGCAGCTGGAGGCTGGGCAGAATCCAGGTCTGCAAGTCTAGCCATGGCGCCCACTTTCCTCTCTCTGAGCCTCTCCCACCTGAGCCTGTGGGCTTCTGGAATGATCTTGATCATAGGCTTTCTCAAGATTTTTTCCCTGCTGCTGCGGAGACACAAGTTGGCCAAGGCCATGGACAACTTCCCAGGGCCCCCCACCCACTGGCTCTTTGGGCATGCCCTCGAGGTATGTGGGGAGGGGTGGGGAAAGGAAATGGTCTTCCTTCCTTCAGAGAATCAGGCCTAATCCCCCAGGGGTTGTGGAGGGACCCCATCAGCTTAGGCAGTGGCCCTTATCCTGGGAACTATGCTTCCCATCAGCTTCCTTTCTGGGATGGCTTCCTCACTCCTGCCTCTTAAGCTGGTGTCAGAAGCAGTGAGCACGTCAAATAGGTGTCCAAACAGGCCAGAGTCCCTCCCATCATTCTGAGGCCCAAAGGCTTTGTAACTGCACAGGGGAGAACCCAAAGCCCTGAGAGCCCCGTAGGACTAGGAAATCATATATAGTGTCACAAGCATCCTCTTTCCTCTCTCTGTAGTATAACATTTCTATTTCTCAGGCAGAAAAATGGAACTAAGGTCGAGATAAGTGCTGTCACACAGATCTCTCTGAGTGTCCAATTGGCTGGTATTGCCAAAGGGGAAGGTTACCTTTGCCATACTCTTGGGTGGCTCTGGAGCCATGGCATTTTCCTGGGTTCAGATCCTGGCTTGTCTTCCTGTTAGGGATCATCTTGACACCCACCATCAGCAACATCTTCCATCATGGGAACCTAGACAGTAGTTTATTACCACAGGGCAAGGAATTGGACTCAACTAGGAAAAAATAGATTCCTGGAACACCAGAACCTAGAAATTCTAATTTATCAAAGTAGAACTAAAAGCCTGAGTTTAAGAACCTCCCCACGTTTTAAAATCTGAAGCCTGGTTTGGAAAGCCAGGTGTAGATTCCAGCAACTGGGGCTCACAGAGAGTCATAGTTCCTCTCCTACCTCCTGAATCCACTTTTCCTTTTTTTTTTTTCATCAATCTTTGATATGCTAAACTTTATTTTTTTAATATTAGTTTTATTAAGAAAAAAAGTTGAAAAGGGTTTTGTTTTTTGTTTTTTTTTTGCTTGCTCAGGCTGCCTTAAATGTGGGTCTGGTAAGGCATATGGAGCTGGGATCAAACCTCCCTATCCTTTACCTCACTTCCCTCACTGTGTTTGCATAAGCAGGCACTTAAACAACTGAGTTAACCGGCAGGCCCCCCACTTTTCCTTCTCAATCTGGGGAACTGCCTCTCCTCTGGGATTGACGTAGGACATGGGACTGACCTTTCAAGGCTTATTGTTGCTCCAAGGGGCAATCTTTCATGAATAGTGAAAATATCTATAAGTATTCCAGGGATATTCAGGGAAAAAACAAAATAAAACAAAACAGGTGAGTTGGGGAGAGAATTAGACCCTGCCTGGACTGTTTAGAGCTCACTGCCTGGAGAGTAAAACATACATCAGAGCCTTCCCTGCCCCCAGGCTGGGTGGAGTGGCTCTAAGAATTCCACATCAGCTCTATTATTTTCATCTCAGCATTTGTCCATCTTCTGTAAGTCTGTGACCTCTAGAGGATGGAGATCTGGTTTGAGTCATCCCTGTGCCCTGAGGGACCAACATAAAGCCTGGCACAGACCACACATTGCCAAAAGAACCAACAAGGAATGCTGGAGAGTAGGGAGGGGTATCTGCAGAGGAGAGCATGACAGAGAAGACAAATGGAGGGATAGGGAGGTTTGGGGAGAGTCTGCGAGGTATGGAAGGAGGGTCATAGGAAGGTGGAAGTCTGACCCTAATGAGGATGAAAAGCATCTGAGAGACTTCCCATCTCCTTCTTCTTGTACCCCCTCCACTTTTACCTGCCTCAATCAGAGTCACTTTGCCCTCAGCCAGTGGGCTTCCCTAGGGCAGGGATCTTGATCTCCCTACAATTCCACACTGGAGTAGATTGGCCTCTTCCCCTCCCTTGGCCCCTGCACCTTTACTTTGGAACCGTGTGACAGGACTAAAACACAGCCTCACCTTGGCCTCTTGGCTCCAGCACCACTGTCTGAAGTGCTTTTACTCAGCATGAGGAAGGCATGCAGAGATGAGAAGGGTGGCTGCTCTTAAGCACCAGAAAAGTTGCCCGGGGAACCTTCATGAACAAAACACCTCCTCCTAGGTTTGGCACTTGTACTGAAAGGTTGGGTCCACACCTGAACCTGAGAAATGGGGAGGGAAGTGTGGGGATTAGTGTTCTTAATATAAATATGAGGAAGTTGGGGTTTAGAGGAGACAAATTATTTACCTAAATCTGTATAATGATTTAGTAACTGAATGAAGGCTGGGCCCAGGAGGATGCCTGCATTTTAATTCAGGACACAATCAGGCCATGACAAGTGACTACAAATTTGATTCGTAGGTCTAGTGAGGATGGGAACTGGAAGGGAAGGAAGAAGATTGGTGAGTAAAGGCCCTCAGAGTATAGAAGGGATATTCATTAGAATTAATTTGTCACTTGTTGGTCTTCCATTAGCCTGGAAACCCTGGTAGGACCTACCTATCATCTTATCAGCTTGCAGAGTGTGTCCCCTTGAGGCAGGTAAATGTCCTATTCTTATAGTGCTCTCCTCCTTCCACACTGGAGCGGAAGGAGACTGTGCGCACACAGGGTGCTCACTGTTGGCCTGAAATTGGTAAATTTGATCTATCTCTGTCTCTGTCTGTCAGTCTCTCCCTCTATCTCTCAGTCTCTCTGCCTCTCCCCTTGTTTTTGAAGAAGTATTTTTGCGGAACAGATTGTAGCCATGTCACCAGCCTTTCTAGAAGGTGTTTCTGCCAGTCTTTACTCAAATGACACCTCAGGGATGTCTTCCCTGACTTACCTGACCTCCATCTGTAGGAGCAGCCCTTTAGTCTGCTTTATTTTTCTTCCTGGAGTTGCCATTACCTGAAATCCTATTATTAGTGTATTGGATTCTTATTTGTTTCATTCTCCACACTTGCTATTTATATTAGGAGAATAAGCTGGTCTTGTTTACCATGGTTTCCCTAGGAACTAGCAACGCCTGACATAGAGACAGTGCTCAATGGTACTGTATTGAGTGAAGAAATAAATCCTTTGGCAACCCAACTTGTGGCAGCAAGGTCATTCATATATAGGCTGAGAACCAATGACTTCCTCTCTGTGGACTCAGGCATTTCTTTTCTTTTCTCAGGCATTTTTGGGCTCCTTGCTTTCCTGTCTCCATAAGTATCCAGATGTTCTGCACTCTGGCTCCAACTAGGTCACTCCAGGGGCTGCAGTTTACCATTGGATCCTGATGACAGGAGAAGCAAGGGATCCTGAATACAAGCTTTGGAACTGAAAGCCCTGGGCATGATGCTGACTGTGTGACTTAGGCAGGCCCATTGTTGCAGCTTCTATCTAGACATGCCCCTAAAGCCTCATGTGGTCCTACGTGGGGCTTTTCAGAGGCAGCTGGATCAGTGTGTGATGCTGGGAATAAGAGTGTGATACTGAGATCAAGGGTGTGTTGTTACTAAAGTAGTCCACTGACTTGTTGTCATCGTTCTGGGAGTGGATAAGGGGAAGGCCCACCCTAAGGTCAGGTAGCCTGAAAGAATATAAGGGACAGAAAGAGGGCTACTGAGGTCACTTGTCACTTACTGCTTGCTGCTTTTTGCTTCCTGCCTTCCATGCTATGATTTTTTTTCTCCTCTGTGCGGCCCCTATGCCACATCACCCTGCCTTGGAGCTAGCCAACAATGAACTGAAACCTTTACAAAGTGTGAACTAAATAATACTTTCCTCCTTTAATTTAGGTTTTCAGGTGCCTGCTTAGGCAGAGTGCAGTGGCCAGGGTTCTATCCCCGGCGTGCCATGCTGGTCCCACCCCCGGCATGCGCTGAGATGGCGAGACTAGACGTGATGGCATGCACCTGTAACCCCAACGCTTGGAAGGCTGAAACAGGCAGAACACTACAAGTCAGATTTACATAGAGAGACCCTGTAGACCCTGTTTCCCTTGTACTAAATGCATAAAAAAATTAGGTTTTCAGGTATTTTGTCTCAGCAATAAGGAAGGAAACCAAGACACCCATTATCACTTCTTAGCTGAGACATGATGGCTATGGGTGTCACCGTGGCCATATTGATCACTCTCAAAGTCTTTTGGCTCCTTTTATTGAGCTCAAGATTCTTTCTGCAGCTTGTGTATTCATATATGTTCATACATACATTTGTCTCTGAAAGGGGGAATGGAAGATGAAGTTGCCCGTTTGTCACCAGAGTAAACACAAGCCACTTCCCCAGTTCTTGCTCGAGACATTATGCCTGAGAACTTCTCTGTTTTGTCTTTGCTCAAACCTGTAGTTGAACTAGACAGGTTTGAGCAAATTGAGTCTTAATGGTTATTGCAGAGATATTGCCTCTGTTAGATATTGGTTTTATTTATTTATTTATTTATTTTTGGTACCAGGGTTCGAACTCAGGACTTTGCACTTGCCAAGCAGGTGCTTATTCTGTTAAACTATCTCCCTGCCAGGGCAGGTGCTTTTAGCTCTTTAATTTTATTTAAATTCTTGACTCTGCCTTGAGCTCAAATATGTGCTGAACCTTGGGGATCTTGTGTGTGGTGGAAGGAACACTCTCTGTGGGAAGATAACCAAGACTACCTCAGCCGAAGACACCTTGGGGTGTCCATCCTGGAGGACAGCAGATCCAGGCAGAACCCTGCAGGACTTCCCTGGGCAATGCGAGCCTGAGTGACCTCAGAAGATGATTGGGGGGTGGGGCTGGGAAGATGGCTCAGTAGAATAAATGCTTCCCTGGCAAGTGCAGGGGTCTGAGTTCAATCCCCTGTTCTGCCCCCCAAAAAAATAAATAAAAGAAAGAAAGAAAGAAAGAAAGAAAGAAAGAAAGAAAGAAGATCATTGGGAATGCTCCAGGGCAGTGACTGAGACATCTTGTTAAGAATTTGGAGAGTTCAGAGGTGGCTGTTTTGAGAAGCAGTAAGTTTGCTGTTGCTGGAGCTGTCTGAACTTTGGAGGCAGAGATTTTCATGTAGAAGTACTGGACCAGACAACAACAGGTACCAGGAATCTGAGAGCAGTCTGATTTCCTCCAGTGGCTTCAACTCATTGAGGAAGAAGAAAATCCCCTCCCCTCTGCTACCACTTGTTTGGTTAAATGCCTACCCCCATTTTACAAGCAGGTTTGTTTTTGTTTTCAAGAAGCTGTGAGCAGCTTGTTCTTTGGACTTTGGCCAACTGAGCTTGGGGTCAACTGGACAGCAGGAAGAACCTTAGTCAGGATCCCTGACTCATTTGGGACAGTTCCCTTTGGTCTTTGGGTTGTACTATTCCCACTGATAAAACGATCTCATAGTTTGTTGAGACAATGCTAATGTCTTTTTCTGATTCTTGGAGCAATTTTTAGCCTCCTGGGAACAGAGGAGTGACATGTTTACTCTTTCAATCGCTCTTGTTATTTTTTCCTGGAAGAGACAACAAGGAATGCAAATGAGAGGATGAGGGGGCAGGGCTGGAGAGCTGAGTTCAGTGAGTTATCTTTGTACCCTGCCTCTTCCTTGTTTCTTTCCTTCTGGAGAAAAACAAGTTGGCCCAGACCTCTTAGTAAGTGTCCCAGCTCAGAGCATGTGAGGATAAGTCTGAGGCATCCTGGGATGTAGCCTGAGAAGTTGGCCTGCAGCTGTATGACACCCAGAAGAAAGATGCCACTGCCCTTCTGGAGGGGCTGCAGCTGCAGGGCTGTGCTCTGTGAGTTCTGGGAGCATTTCCCTCTCTCCTTAGATTCCCGGGGCAGCCAGGAATACATAGAATAAAATGGGACATGTATGAGAAAGTTGAGTATAGGGAGCCCATGGCAACCTGCCAGTGTCCAACGTCAGGGTTAATGAGTCAGGGTCTCTATGGTAGGAAGGCTGTGGAAGGGCACAGCATCACCAGTGAGGGTACAAGTGGAACTCAGATGAATGAGATGAACTGTAGGCTTTTTCCAACTTCAAGATCCTAGAGTCTGGATTTTCTGGGATTTAAGCTGTTGTCTGTCATGGCATCTTAAGGTCCACAGACCTGGGAAAAAGGGGAGTGACCATGGTGATCAGAAAGTTGGTAAGGAAAGCCTAGGGGGCAGATGGAAAAATTGGAGAGATGTAAGGACAAGAAGCATTGCCATGACTATCAGCTAAAAGGAGGCAGGAATGTCAGAAATTTCTCTTTACTGTGAGTAGAGATGATTTTTATCCCTGCATGCACTTTCTGACATTGCTGCTCTAGGTGACAAAAAATATTACAGCCACTTTGAATTCGGGAGGGTTGACTCTCTTTATGGGGAGATTATTCCAAACTGTGCAAAGGGTCCGGGGAGAGAGGAGCCCCCCCTCCCCCCCGCTGAGAAGGCACTCCTAGTAGATAGTGGATTTGGATGCTGGGGTCTCCTTCTGGATGTAGTTTCTGTTGTAACCCAAGAAGGAGACAATGAAGCAAAACATCAAAAAAGATGGTAGTGCTTTATTTTAGCTGGTACCCAGCGGCACCCTCAGAGTCCAAGAGACAGAGAGGAGCCCCAGGTAAGGGGAGGCACAGTAATTTAAACCCAAAAACCGCAAAACCGCCCATCCAAGCAAGCCGATCACAGAAGCCAATAGCAGATGTTAATGTGGTTAAGGGAGCACATGACCTTTTACAGGATTGGTTGTAGCCCACCTGGAGGAAGCTGGACACAGAGGAGTTACCCCTTTGGACTAGGTGGAGTACAGAACAGGTTGTGTAATCTAGGTATGTGGTCATGCTGACCTTATAAGGACAATGTGGCCAACCGGTTGCCAGGATCACCCGTTTTTGCCTTAAGACTTTCTTGGACCAGGGCAGGGGTGAATCAGAGAACCAAGATGGAGTCATTGTAATCAACTAGGGCAAGGGTGAATCGGAGAGCCAAGATGGAGTTACTATCGTCAGGGTATAACACGCCCTGAAGGGAGTGGGCCCAAGAAACAGAAGTCACATTTTACAGCAGCTGACATGGTTTACTAAGACAGCGCATAGTACATAGACAGCTCATAGAACAGGATGGCGGTGCTTTGGTCAGGTTATAACAGTTTCAAAGTTCTTTTTTCCCTGAGCAAAGAATTGGTCAAGACAAACACAAGTAGAAGCAATGTTTTATTAAAGGTAGAAAAAGTAACAGGCTATGCAGAGCAAGTTTTGGCCAAGTAAAAGTATGAAAAGAAGTTCATCCCTAAAGCAGGAGGGTGGGCAGCTGTGCAAGAGTGAACACAGGCAAAAACTCAGTGTAGAGCATCCATTATGTATCAGTCACTTCTCAGGCTGGGTCAATCTGGGCCATTGGATCGACATCCTCATGAGAAGCTCTCATGAGAAGACCACAAGCAGGGCTTTGAGAACTTTTCTGTGAATATGTCCTGGGATCTTATGCCCCCTTTCCAGGCCAATTTTAGCCATGCCCTATCCTGCTGTTTCAGCATGAGACCAAACCAAGCCTAATCCTGAAGGCTCTTGGGGCTAGTGCTTGGGGGCAGACAAGTAGTGGATGGACATAAAGTAGTGGATGTGGGGTTGGAGAGGTCATTTTGCCAGAGATGTTCAGGAGAGGGGGTACAGGAGGAGGGAGGGAGGGAGGCCCTAGACCTTGCCTAGGAAGCCCCCTTCTTTTCCCTGGCCAGGGACCTGGGGCCTAGCTGGTGATTTTGGGTTTCTAAGGGGTCCTGACCTCCTTTATTTCAGATCCAGCAGAAGGAAAGTCTGGACAAGGTGGTATCCTGGGCTCACCAGTTCCCTTATGCCCACCCACTCTGGATGGGACCATTTCTTGGCTTCCTGAACATCTATGAGCCTGACTATGCCAAAGCTGTGTACAGCCGGGGAGGTGAGATATATATCTGTGGGAAGGGGGTGGGGCTTCCTGAGGGCAAGGGGCTTGAGGCATGATGTGGGGGGAGACCTGAGCTGTACATTAATCTGGGTAGAAGATGGTCAAGGGCCCACCTCATTCATCAATGAGCCACCTCTGGAAAGCCCCTTTCTCCACCTGTCCCCCTTTTGATCCACTTCTCCTACAGACCCTAAGGCTGCAGATGTATACGACTTCTTCCTCCAGTGGATTGGTGAGTGGGTACCTGCTTTCCCTGCCTTTCCCTTCCCGCCCTTTGCACTGGGTGACCAGGATCCTGACCTGGCCAGCCACACCCAGTTGTTCCTATGCTCCTGGCTGGTAGGGGAGGAGAAACATGGTATTGTGCTTTTCTTGTTGGGGCTGTCACCTGCCCTTCTTTTCAGACAAGGGCAGGGCTCCAGGGAGTGTGTGGCTGTGAAGAAGGCTTCCTGGAAGAAGTGGTTAGAGTTGATCCCACAGGAGATTTTAAAAGGCAGAGCTGTCTGGGGCAAGGGCCTGAGACAACTGCTGAGGCTACAGGCTGGAGGGCTGATCTCGCTGGGAAGTTGAGGCTGGGCAGGTAATGGCTGGCCTTGGTTGTCAGGACTAGGTCTGTGGGCTGATGTTAAGGTGAGTGGGAGCCATCAAGCATTCTTGAGCCAAGGTCAAGTGCTTTTCCAAAGCTCTTTCCTTTATTCATGATCCCCAAGAATCTTCAGGAGCTTCCTGATATCAGAGAAGGGTGAGGGAAAGAATAAGAAAACAATCCTGAGGCTGTTTACTTGTGGAATAAACCAAGGAAATCTTTCTGTGGACTTCATTGGTTCTTACCCTTTCATCAACTACTAAAGCAAGGATATAGAAAAGAAAACCAAAAAGGTTTAGGAAATTTTGAGGCAGTTTTGAAGAGAGGAGCACATTTCCATGGCAGGGTGTGAGTGGAAGGATAGATTCTTGCCTGAGGACACAAAGGTCAGCCCTGGCACATTGGTCTTTGATACTGAAACTATGGTGGCCACAGTCTCAACAATGTAGGAGTGAAGGCCTGACAGGCTCCCCTTCTGCCTCTGTCAGGGAGCCACATCTCCCTTGTCTTAGTCCAGAGTCACCCAACACAAGTTTCTGGAGCCCAGGCTTTGTGGTGCAGTCAAGAGGCATAAAGGAGTCTTCCTGTCTGAAGAAACAGCGTGCTCAGGAGAGAAAGGCTGCCTGGTGTTTCTCAGTCTGGGCTAGAGGTGCAGGGACAATATTGGATGTGTTGGGCAGCCCAACACTGGAGGCCTCCAGACACAGGGTTGGAAGGTGGTGTGAGCTTAGTCCCAGCTGCTGAGGGTGGAGCAGGACTGCCTGGACTCAGGATCCTTCCCTCTTCCATCCCTTCCCAGGGAAAGGCCTGCTTGTTCTTGATGGGGCCAAGTGGTTCCAGCACCGCAAGCTCCTCACACCTGGCTTCCATTATGACGTGCTAAAGCCCTATGTGGCTGTGTTTGTGAACTCTGCAAATGTGATGCTGGTGAGTGGCCTGCAACAGGCTCCTGGAGCTGTAGACTACTGGACTCTTTCTGCTCCCTCATAGGGCAGGGAAGATGACAAAGGGAGGATCCCTGTGGCTTTGAGTCTATAGTATTCCTGTAACAGCAGTGCCCAAGTCCTGTTCTGCGACTGTTGTCGTGTGCCACTATTGACTAGTGCTGGAGCTCCTAGCGTGTGGGCAGCCTTGGCCCTTGTTTCTACCAGGGCATCTGACCCACTGTCACACCAGACCAAAGTGCTCCAGGAAGCCTCAGTAAGGTGTCCACTACTGCTAATGTGAGGACTATCTATATGTGAAGGTATCAGGAAAGCCCTTCACATCTTTTTTCACTACTACCACTGTAGCTTATCACTGTGTGGCTACAGCTCATCTCCAAGAGGTTTGTCCAGTCCAACTTAGAGTCTCAGGGTACACACACTCACACACACACCCCTTGTGCTTGGAGCCCATCATCCCTCAGCCCTCCTGCTTGTTCATCTAGGCTGCCCAACTAGGAGGGAGTGTCTGTGCTATAGGAGATCTACCTCCTGGTCCTGCTGTCTAAGTCTGATGCCCAGAGGCTGCCAATCCCACATTCCAGCAGGATGCAGGGCAGGGCAGAGACTGGGCATGGGTGTGGAATTGGGTTTGGTACAGGAAGACAGGACATGCCTCTGGAGGGCAGGGTGCGCTATCCATATTGCTTCCTATCCTTGGACTCCAGGACAAGTGGGAGAAAAAGGCTTGTGAGAATAAAAGCTTTGACATCTTCTGCGATGTGGGCCACATGGCATTGGACACACTCATGAAGTGCACCTTTGGCAAAGGAGATAGCGGCCTGTCCCACAGGTCAGGGGGTGCCTCTGGGGTGACCATAGTCCTTCTTCTCTAAACCAGCTCAGAGGGGAGCTGGGAGGGCAAGATCTTCCCAGGCCTTGGATGTGGTGGGGAGACACATCAGCTTTAGTGAGGGAGCCTGAGGGAGGGAAAGGAAGTGCCATGGTTGGAAAAGAGTTGCACAGGGCTCTGCCCCTGGCTCAGTGTCTGAACTCTCCCTCTCTCCATTCTTGCTCTGCAGAGACAGCAGCTACTACCAGACAGTGTCTGACCTCACACTGCTGATGCAGCAGCGCATTGACTCCTTCCAGTACCACAATGACTTTATCTACTGGTTCACACCTCATGGCCGCCGCTTCCTGCGGGCCTGCCAGGCGGCTCATGACTATACAGGTGCACCTTCCCGTGGGGCCAGCTGACAGCAGGCCTGGGCTCTTCCTCCTGGTCTGTCTGCATTCTGCCCATTGCATGTTCTTAACTTGCTTTTGGGTAGAGGATGGTTCCCAGGGAGTGATGCCTGTGCTCTTGGCCTAGACCATGTTATCCAGAAGCGGAAGGCAGCCCTGCAAGACAAGGAGGAGCAGGAGAAGACCCAGAACCGGAGACACCTGGACTTCCTGGACATTCTTCTGGGTGCTAAGGTGAGTCCCCCCACTAGAGGGCTGCTCCCTAGCATCTTGCTAGGATAGGGTGTGGTACTCAGTAGATGGGGCTATTGAGCACTCCTCCCTCTCCCTAAAAAATGCACCTGCTTCTTGTCCCTTGACACCTATCACTAAAGGTGGAGAAGTAGAGGGTGCATATGGCTGGGAAGTGGTATCCAGGAGCTGGAGGCCTGAGTCACATGGTGGTGACCTAAAGACATTTTTAGACTTCTGAGATCCCCAAGAATCCTGACATTGTAGAATCATAGAATTTAGATTTCCTGTATTCGTTCCTTCATTCAGTTCTTCATTCCTCACTCCATGAACGCTCAGAGAGCCTGTGCTGGTCCTGTGTTGGGATGTTAACATGGAAAAGACTTGGCCTTGGTCCTCCAGATCCTTACAGTCTAGTGGAAGGAACTTATAGTTGGTGAATGTTGGTGGATGCTGACAAGGTGTCTTCCTCTGCTGGGTGGCATTCTGTGTGCCAAGGGAGCAGGGCTGATGGTTAGGGCTAAGGTCACAGGTCATTTGGCCAGAAGGATCAGTGCCCTTTCCACTCCTGCTTTTTCTAAGTTTTTGGCACCTACGCCAAAGCCTTGAGCCTTGCTGCTCTGCCTTCACTCAGGATGAAAGCGCCACCAAACTGTCTGATGCAGACCTCCGGGCCGAAGTGGACACGTTCATGTTTGAAGGTCATGACACCACCACCAGTGGTATCTCCTGGTTTCTCTACTGCATGGCCCTGTACCCAGAGCACCAGCAGCGTTGCAGGGAAGAGGCTCAGGAGATCCTAGGGGACCGTGACTCCTTCCAGTGGTGAGTGAAGTTGATGGGGTGTCTGGCCTGGCCTGCTCAGCCCAAGGAGAGGCCTTGCTGTCCTGGAAATAAGGCAAAGGTGGCAGCACTTCCCCTGCTCCCTCCAGTGCTGCAGCTTTTAGAGGGCTGAATGTAGAAATAGCTTTTACTCCATTCCCTGCAAACGGAGCCTTTTAGTGTCATACAGAGAAAATTATTAATAAGAGCCTGACTTTTCTGAGCTGAATTCCTCTGATGGAGAACATGAATATATGTTTGGTTTTCTGAATAGGGTATAAGGAGGGCTGGGAGGGAAAAAGAAAGATGTGCGGGCTGCACAGGGAGAAGAGGGTTGGGAGAGCCATGCCCTTGCCTTTGGGTGGCAACACTTGGTCACCAGACCTCACATCTGTCCCTTGGATGAAGGAACAGATACTGCTTCCCAAACCCTAGCATATAAGAACTTTCAAATATTCCTCCTGGTTCTCAGACCCAGGCTGAAATCCTAATCATGACCTTACACAATTCCAGCCTCCCTTTGGGGTATGATCACAGGGAATCCTTATAGGCATCTCTCCCCATTTATCTCTCCCTCCTCCTCCCCTCCCCTCCCCTCTCTTCCCACTCCACTTCCCCTCTCCCTCCTCCTCATCCTCTTCTCCTTCTCTCCCCTCTCCTTCCTCCTCCTCCTCCTCCCCCTCATCCTCTCAGGTCTTTGCATCCTGTTATGCTCCTCCTTTCTGGCCTCTTGCCCTCCCTCCCACTTGGGTGCAAGGCACATAGCAGGGGTACAGAAAATACCTGTCTGTGGTGGAATTTAGGTTCACTCAAAAGGGACCAACCTATAATTCCATGATCTGACACTTGGAGGATGGAGTCTGAATTACTCGTTTCTATTGGTCAGATGTTGGAAACAGGGTAGCCAGCCTGGTGCAGGTGCAATGTAGGTGAAGTTTGAAAGAGAAGGAGGAACCTAAATTCAAGCCTCACTTGGGGAGTTTTTAGACAGACAAATTCACATAACTGGAAAACAAGAGCAAATCATAGCAGGAAAGACCGAGTGTCCTGGATGTTGTGAGCAGAAGGATCCGAAGGGGTAAGGCTTGGATTGACTTCTAAGGAGAATTAATACTCAGGCAAAGAGAGAACCAGGCATTCTTGACTGGGCAACATTGTGACACAGTGAGACAGAAAATTAAAACATTGTTCTCCATTCTTTGTAGAACTAGAAGCATCTTTGAGGACATTTATTTAATAAGTAGTATAAAAATCAGGACCAGTAGAGGATGACTTGGAATTTTGGATCTGAGCTTCCTGGTGGCCAAAGGAAAAATAAAAAATATATATGTTTATCATTATTCATATATTGAACAGTTCATGCATATTCGTTGGTTCATTCAATCAACATGTATCAGCCACTGACTTTCTACTCTATGCCCACAGGGAGAGCTAAACAGAACCTCAACAGTCCCTACTGCAGGCTTCTGTGTGGCCCTCAGAGACACAGCGGTGACCTTGGCCTTGGTAGCTGGGTGCATGTGCATCTAGGGTCCTGCACCATCTCCTCTCAGTAGTGACAGTGAGGAAGGGATAGAAGGATGTGAAGCCAGCTCGCTGGGCCTGAGAGCCCGCCCCCTGTCCAGTCTGCCTTGGGCACCTGTAGCCTTCAGGCTTCTCTGACGCCTGGATGTGCACTGGTGCTGGTGCGAAGGCAGCATGGTGAGGGGTGAAGCTGTGGCCAGGACTCACCTTTCCCAGGAGCCCATTGCTCCATTCTTGCTGTGTTGCTGGCAGGGATGACCTGGGCAAGATGACCTACCTGACCATGTGCATCAAGGAGAGCTTCCGCCTCTACCCGCCTGTGCCACAGGTGTATCGCCAGCTCAGCAAGCCCGTCAACTTTGTGGATGGCCGCTCTCTACCTGCAGGTGGGAGGGGCTGGGGCTTTCCTGGGTGCTCCTTTGACACCTCCTGCAATGTTGTCTAAAACTTTGTAAGGGGGATAAGCTTCTGCTTTGCATTCTGAGAGCTCTGGGTTCAAATCCTAGCTCCGCAACACATGAGTTAATTGCTCCGCCTCTAGATCTTCATTTTCTCTCCTATTAAATGGGGATGAGAAGAGGGACTACCTTTCAAGGTGGCTGTCAAGATGAAAGAGACGCAGCTCAGCAAGGCTGTGCCGTAGCACCATGCATATTCAGGTTGCGCCTTAGACAACTTCCGGGCATGATTCACATAACTTAATGCAAGCTGAGTATAACATGTGAAACTGTATGGGGTGGTTTCATGAAGAGTGTTTAGAATTCTACCAGAAATGAAATGGTAGTGACTACTATTGAGAGCTTAATCCTCTTAATAATAACTTTTTGAGAGTTAGTTAATGGACAGCAGAAAGGTGGTAATAGATCCTGATTGTCCTCCTTTGTGCTAGGGTGGGTTCATCCTTCTTTCTTTTTCTTTTTTTCATACCATAGATGTCTGTGCTCAGTGCTGGGGCTACAGGAACTGGATAGGATGATGATCCAAATACTTTGAGGGGTTGAATATTGCTAGGAACTTGAGGTCATTGGCAGTGGTCAGGCAGGGGCTAGAGCCTGGTGAGGGAGACACTTGGTCACCAAATCTCTTTTCTGTCTATAGGCAGCCTGATCTCTCTGCATATCTATGCCCTCCATAGGAACAGTGCAGCGTGGCCTGACCCTGAGGTACCTCATTTCTGTGCCAAGATCTGATGGAGTGGGGGCGGAGGGGACTCCCCCATGATAGGACTTGGTGGGTTTTCAAGCAAAGCCTGTCTCCTTAGGTCTTTGATCCCCTGCGTTTTTCTCCTGAGAATGCAACTGGACGCCACCCCTTTGCCTTCCTGCCCTTTTCGGGTGGGCCCAGGTAGGAAGAGGTCCAGTATCCCCAGACCCCCAGGACTGGGGAAAAGGTGGGAGGCAATGTCATGAGGAAGACATTATGATGGGGTATTTTGTGGTAAAAGGCCATGTTGTTTGTGTTTTTTCTAAATGCCTGGAAAACTTCAGGGATATTCTTGCAGTTATATTCCTGTCCCTGGGAAGTGGGTGGATGGTAGTTGTTCCAGGAGAGACCCGAGGCCAGAACCCATCATGAGGCTACTCAGTCGATACCCTCATTGTGTCTCTAAGATCTTTCTTAAGCTCATGTCAATTAACCTATCAGCCAGTTATGCATCCACAAATGGTTACTGATGTTCATTAGCTACCAGCAGCACTGAAGGTCACACTCGGGACCCTTCCCAGCCCAGTGCCTCTCTGTACTGCTCACTGCAGGAACTGCATCGGGCAGCAGTTTGCCATGAATGAGATGAAGGTGGTCACAGCTCTCTGTTTGCTACGCTTTGAGTTCTCTCCGGACCCCTCACGGGTACCCATCAAGATGCCCCAGCTGGTTCTGCGCTCAAAGAATGGGATTCATCTCCACCTGAAGCCACTGAGCTCTGGGTCTCAGAAGCCACTTGGCAGAGAGTAAGGCCCCAGGATCCCACGCTCTTCCTTCTCCCTCCGAACTCCCAGATGAACATGGAGAAGTTGTGGCTTCCTGCCTTCAGGAGGTTCATTGTCTGGGAGGGAGTAGGCACCGGCAAGACAACCTCCCAGAGGACAGCCCCACCCAAACATGAATGTCTACTTGTTACCCACGCATTCAAGATCTCATTCATTCACTTAGTTGGTGAGCACCCACTCATCTCAATAAACTTCATTTATCTCCTATAATTAGCAGTCTTTCTAAAATGTAGGAGAAATGCACATTCCAGTCTAATTGACGTAGAGAACACAGTAGAGACTTTGTGGAGGGATTCGTGATTATGATCTGGTAGCTTGAGCTTGTGGGATGGCTCTGGGAATTGCCCTTGATGAAAATGTGTTTTTGGGCTGGGGAGATGGCTCAGTGGAATAAGTGCTTCCCTGGCAAGCGCAAGGGCCTGAGTTCAATCCCGGCTCAGTGGAATAAGTACTCCCCTGGCAAGTGCAAGGACCTGAGTTCAATCCCTGGTTCTGCCAAAAAAGAAAGAAAGAAAGAAATGTGCATTTATGTTTCTCTCTCTCTCTCTCTCTCTCTCTCTCTCTCTCTCTCTCTCTCTCTCTCTCTCTCTGAGAATTAAGATGAGGAAAAATTACTACAATCAAAACTGAACAAAATAATGAGTAATTCTAAAGCAAATTCTCACTACACAAGTCAAAGAATATGCAGGATGGTTTTGCTGCTTTGTCTTCCACCTCTCTTGGGATTGGTCTCTGTGGCATTCTCAGCATTAGGGTCTCAGTCATATGGCACTCTAGGAATTCATAGTTAGGCCAGGGAAGATGGCAGAATGGCATTAGAGGGACTTCTTGGGAGAAAGAAAGCCTCCTGGGAGTCAGGTGTTGAGCCATGGGCAAGGTATGAAGGTACAAAGAACTTTTGGGGTGAGCCTCAAGCCTGGGTCGCACAATGATGTAGAGGTCTTTCACTGGCACCTCCCGTAGCAAATGCATGATGGCTGTGGGCACACATGCAGCTAGGGCTCAAGGTGGGTGGCCACTAGGAGCCTCCATTCCAGAAATTAGGTAGTGACAGAAGGGAGAGAACACCACACATAGCATTCTTCCTGAGTTCTAAAGTCACTATATTAGATCTACAGTCTCGATAGTGGGTTTTGTGGCCAACTTACATGACACCTTCAGACAGGCCCCCTTCCTGCTGACTCCAGACACTGTTCTTCACTCATAATTTCCTTATAAACCCAACCTACTCCATACCTCTCATGGGGAGCGATCTCGTCCAAAAGTTCCATGTCTCTTTCACCTCTCTCCCCACAGTGCTCGTGCGAGAAACCTAACCTCAGTGCACAGCCAGATCCTCCCTCCCGCTTCCCTTGTTGACCACATACTCTGAGACACTTCCAGTCCCACTCACACCACACATTCTATTCATACACTGGCATGCCTCAGCGATCTCATGGTCTTTCCCTGCATTCCCTAATACCCAAATAGCACCCAAACATCAGAGGGGACTCAAGTCCATCACTTGCTGCTTTCTCAGTCTTCTAGTCCTGAGACACCTGGCCCTAGCTACTACACGGGCATAAACTGTCATCCTGTCAACCCTCCTTACTCCCAAGAGCTCTCCTAACCCAGACCACCAACCTCCCCAAGTGTTGTCTGTACGTGTCCATTCCAAGGTTTGATCTCATGGCCATTCCAGTCGTGCTCAACAACACACACACCTGTCCTCTTCTCAAAGGCTTGCAGCTATTAATCTCTCCCTTTACAACTCCCCTCTTCCCACAACCTCACATGCTCCCTGGGAAACTCCACTTGCCTCCCCTGCACCAAAATCACTTCATCCAGCACACCTTCAGACAAGCAACACAAAATGGACACACAGCTGTTTCTGCGTGGCACCTCGGTATATGGAACTCTGTTTTCCTTTGGCTTTCTCCCATTCTAGGGCCCCTCGCAGGGCTTGCTGTTATGTTCACGATAGCTCCCTGCTTCATTTCCCTCATCTGTGTAACTGTCACCAGATTAACAACCCAAAATTTTAATCAGATGCTTCTCTCAAATTACTCCTACCAGGCCTTACTCCAACAAAACCCCTTCAATGATGAAAACTCCTCACCCTGATCTCCAGAATCACAGCCCCATGATGCCCCTGGTCAGCAGGAAGTAGCCAGATGATTTCTTTGCCCCTTTTCTATCTAACAGAGTCTGGAATGAAGGTTAGGATTCAAAGTTTCCCAGGCACTCTGTCCTAACATTCTCCCTCTTGGTTTCCCAGGCACCCTGCCCCCAAAAGCTGTCCCCCGCTTGGCCCTATGCAGAGCTAAGCCCCAAACTGAACAAGTCCTCTTGACTTTGACCTGGGTAAGCAACCACAGAAACTCTCCTTTGTTAGCATTGAAAATTCCTCATAGGCCAAGTAGCCCTGACAAGATTAGCTCTCCCTCAGCTGTTCCACCTCACAAACATCCTCCACACAAAACTCCTTAAAAGCCCTACGCTTTGCCTTGTTGGCTGCTGTCTTGGTCTGCTAGACAGCCAGCCTGCTTGCTGCCCCCAATAAATCTCCTACTGGCATCAGAATGCCTGGTCTAGTCAATTGCGTGGGTTCATACCTAACAAGGTGGGGGCTAAGCTTTGAGGTCATAGCCAGCTTGTTCCCAAGGGTGGCGCCTGAGCACAACTGTATCCATTTCTGTATGCCTTTGGACCTTCATCACTCATGCTGTCACCAAGTGTGGGCAGGGCCGACTCCCCCTGGGGAGGGGTAGGCTATGATTCCATTTCAGTACTAACAGAAGGAGCCCCTGAGATGCTCATTTGGGAGGAGCTTAGACTGAGGCCTCTGAAGTCTGCTCCACATTAATATGGACAGTCTCCTGCAAGTGTGGGTGGTGGGAAATAGAGCAGAGAGCTCTGGTGCCAGAGGGGACAGAGGCTTCCTGGAGGAGGGAGGAGAGAGGCTCTGAGTGGTGGGCAACACTGATGAGTTCTCCTTAACTCTTCTAGATCTTCTAACACACCCTGCTGCCTCTTGTGGCCCTGGGAACATGTGTGTGCATGTGTGCATGTGGGGTGTGTGTGTGTGTGTGTGTGTAGTGTGCAAAAGGTATATACAGGAGAGGCTTACATAACTCTGCTCACGTGTCTGTGGGGGAGGAGCACATGAGTGGGACTCAGCCCTGGTCTTGCCTATTGCTTGGAGATGGCCAGGTCACGTCTCAGTCACACTTCTCGGCCACACTGTCAGACCCTGTGGAATCCTGGGATTACACCACATGTCCCTGAGCTGCTGTTGTCCTGTGCTCCCTGAGCACGGCCAGCACTGCCCCTTGCACCACCTGATGTTGGGGCCCCTGCTGGACATCCTGTCTGTGATGTTCCCAGCTAACTCTATCACCCAACTCTCCCCTTACCCTGGATCAAGAGCCCAGCCTGCCCTTTCCGGCTCCTTTTCAGAGCAACATCAAACAAGCCCAGTGATTTAGAGGCCAGCAAATCTTGGCTGCAGCTTCCAACTTGGAGAGATGCTGTAGACTAACTTTCTGGGGAGATCAGATGACTCCAGGAAGCTCTGCCTGTAGTATCCAAGGCCCTGGGCTCTGAATGATTTAAGTCAATAGAGGAAACCATACTCAACCAGCCAAAGAAGTAGAGTCTCATTTAATGGAGGTTAACAGAAGCAAAAACAGCAGCTCAGGGGGTCTGGTGGTAGTACAGAAAGGGACACGAACAGGGAGCAGGTCCAGGGCTAGAAGTAGCAGCAAGCAGGCAGTCACCAACTGTGGGCAGGCCTGGTGATGCCTCTCATCCTTCAGAATAGCCAGCCAAGGAGGCTGCTATGGGGCTGTCCTGTGCAGAGGAGCTGCTTGGGTGCTGGCATCCTCTCCTACCAGCAGAGGCCCTTCCCAGCTCTTGGCAGATAGCTGTCTGCTCCAAGTCTCCTGAGGAGCATTGAGGTCCTGTATGTGGAGGAGGTCAACAGGTGATGTGGTGAAATGGCCAGGCTGGGCTCTCTTCTAATGTCTCACTGGTCTGTGAAGAGCAAGGTCCTGAGGCCCTTGTGCTAGATCAGATCTGAAGGTTTCCTGCCCAGCCCAAGATGGTCTTTAGCTGGAACCTCTTCTGAAAAACCCGGTGCAAGAAATGTTAGTCCTTGAATATAATGAAGGTCTTTGTCTCTCTCCTTGACAGATGCGAGCTTCTCTGCTGGAGGTCCCAGGGAAAAGCCCTTTGTCTAAAATCAGCTACTGGAGCCTCAGTAGCTGCTGCTGGGCTGGATGGGGCATGTGGGGTTGCACATATGAGGCCACTCAATGCAGGTGGGCTCCATAAGGCCAGGCAGAAGCCCTGGTGCCACATGTCATTGTTCTCCTTCCTCAGAAAAGATTATATCCTCTCCCCCTTTTTCCCTGCCATATCCTTCCAAGAGACCAAGATACTCCATGTGACATTAGAAACTTTATTGCAAGAAGGAGGGAGATGGAGAAACTTGACTGAGAAACATGCAGGTAGACAGAGGTCAGGCAGGAGAAATTTTTCTGGAGAAATTAAGTGACAGTTGGGGAAGGGCATGGCAGGCTGAATGATATCTTCCCAGGATGTCCAAGATCTCAATTTTGAAGCTCATGATTATATTATTGCATATGTCAGAAGGTTGGTGAAGTCAAGGATTTTGAGATTGGTAAATTATCCTTTAAAGAAAGAAGGAGCCAATTCCAAGAAACGTAAGGAATTCATCTCTAGAAGGGAAAGGCAAGCAAGAGGGTTCTCTCTAACACTCTGCAGAAGTTGGCTACATTAACACCTGGATCTTCTCCCAGTGATACCCTTTTCAGACCTCCAATCTTCAGAACTCTGAGAATAGCTTTCTGTTACTTAAAAGCACAAAGGTTGTGGTAGTTGATTATAGCATCAGTATGAAGCTCATCCAGGGAAAAATCAGCAAGCAGAAAGGGAAAGAACAGGTAGAGAAGCAGGCAGGCTGGAAGGAGGCAGGTGATTAGGGCCTGCAGAAGCAGTCAGAGATGCAGGCAGAGGGAGAAGAAGAATACACAGGAGGCAGAACAGCAGCAGAAAGGTATGCAGACAGGCTGGGCACAAGAGCAGGTGACAGGAAGACAGGATGGTAGACAAGAGAGCTCAGAATCTGTCACTGACTCACCGTGGCTAGTGCAGCTTCCTGAGACGCAGGTGGATCCCATTCTTAGATTTCAACACAAGTCGTGGTATAGGGAAGGGGACCCTGGTGGGGTCAGGCAGCAGCTCAAAGCGGAGCAGGGTCAGGGCCACAGCCACCTTCAGCTCATTCATGGCAAATTGTTTTCCAATGCAGTTCCTGGGCCAGACAGGGACAATGAAATGAGGTACAGCCTCAGGCCCTGTTCTGAGCTGATCAGGAAGGGGTGCCTGAACCCCAGCCCAGAGCTGGGAATATGGGGTATTCATATGCCCAGTCTAACCCCTTTCCTTACAGTCATGCAATGCTCTCTCCTGGGCCTGAGGTTACCTTCTCCTGACCTTTGATAAAGCCTTCTAGGTGTGCATGGCTAACCTGGCCCTCTTTTGCTCTCATGAGCACAGAATTTCTTTCTTAAGATGGGGCCAGAGGAACAGTGTGATCCCAAGTCATGTAAAGAGTTAGTTAGTTCTTTCCATTCAGAGTATCCAAGAAAGTCCCTAAGAGAAGAGCCAAATGTTGATGAGGAGCCTCTTTCAGGGGGCTTCAGTCTGGGGATCTACAGATTGTGGCCCCATCTGCTTCCCACTCAGTGGTCAGGCTCCTGCCTCCCTCTCCTGCCACAAGTCAGCAACATCTGTATCCTTCTATTTCCATTCCAGAAATGTCCCTGTTTGCCTTCTTCAGTGTTTTGGCCCACTTCTCTGGTGTCCCTGCCTCCCCTCCTTCTGCATGGCTCCTTTCATGTCCTCTATCAGGCAGGAGGGTCTAAATATCTCAGCTGCACCCACACCCTCCATGTCTTCTGTGTCTCCCACCATTACCTGTGTGACCCCCAAGTTCTAGCTCAGCTCACGAATGTGTTCCCCCTCCACCTCTGCCTGCTCACAGTGTCCCACTGTCCCTCTCCTTCCTGGGTCCCCAGGGGCACCATCGGTGCTTTATTCATGGACATCACAATCCAGAGACAGTGACAGCACCAGGAATGTGGATCACCCCATTAAGAGTGGAAGAACAGGGCTGGGAAGATAGCCCAGAGGCAAAGTTCCTGCCTGGCAAGCACAAGGTTCTGAGTTTGATTCCCAGTAACAACAACAAAATGGAAGAATAAAGGAGGGAATGATGTCTGCCCTAAGCACCAATGTGTCTTGCCACAGAACACATTTTTGTCCTTGACCGAACTCCTGAAAGGAGAAATGGAATCTTTAATCTGTGTTCTTATAACTTAGTAAAAGACTTGGAACACAGAAGCTGGCCTAAAGCCTTCTTTTATATTTAAATTAATTAACTTCACTAGATTAAAAAAAATTCAGTTTAGTTGAATTTAAAATAATGTAAGAAATTTATTTAAAAATTGAGCTACCTAGAGCTCTCCTGTCCTCTAGTGGCAGTAATTTGATTTGCAGCCAATGTGGGAAGTATTTAGGTTAAAAACCAAATCCCAGAAAGTCAATTTCTATTATGGCAACTTCCTATTCTATCAAAGTTGTTTTACCATTTGAAGAATTTTTAAAAATATTGAATGGGAAAATCATGTTTCTACCACTTCTTTATAAAGATTAGAGTAAGTTACATCCTACTGGCAACTCCCACAGCCTTTGAGGGTCATGACGGCCCTTTTGGAGTGTGTTTGTCCAGCTCAGCAGCTACTTTAATTGTGTTTTACATTTTACACACCAAGACTCCGTCAAATGCTATGAGGCATAGACACGATAGTGGTTTTTCTTTCAAAGGCAGTTTACTGTTCCCATCTTAATGCTTTTTTTAAAAATCCAAAGTTGGGTCTAAGTGTAATTTCTATACTTATGCTGGACTTCATCTGTCCCATTATGACAACTGGGAAAGTTATAAGAAAAATGTGAATGTGAATATCACAAATTGTTTTGGGAGGGGCTGGGGAGATAGCTCAGTAGAGCCAGGGCCTCTGTGTTGTGCCCCAAGTTCTTGCTTGGCAAGCACAAGGGCCTGAGTTCAATCCCTGGTTCCGCAAAAACAAACAAACAAACAAACAAAACCAAATTGTGTTGGGAGAGACTGAAAATGCCCTCGAAAATGTTCTTTGATGGCTTACTGTAAACTTTCAAAATCTGTCTGGAGAGCTGGCAGACAGCAGGAGCCCAGAAAACCAACCCAGGCAAAGCAACCACTTGCTGCTGTGAGTTGAGAAAAAGTGAAGAAATGGAAAGGGTGTCATCAGGCATTAAACTTACACAAGAATTTTTGGTTCCTAACATTCTACTTCTAAACTGAGGGAAGCACCGGCACACACTAGATGTGTAGTACCTACTGACACTGAGCTCTGACTGGCCACTGGAAGGACCCTGGACCAGGGCCTCTGTGTTGTGCCCTAAAATGTTCCCTTTCTTTTGCACACAGATGCACCCCCACGAGGCTCCTTTTCTGCAGCACTAACAAAGAAGGGTCTATCTGAAGATGTCATATTTGAACATAGGAGCCTATACACAGTAGGGTACACTACAGGGAATTACCCTCATCTGCTATTACCCAATTACCCACACACGATACCTCACCTGGATCCTCCTGAGAAGGGCAGGAATGAGTGGCTGTGTCGGGAAGAATCAGGTGAAAATCGGGAAGGGTCAAACACCTGCAGAAATAGAACCAGAGCCAGGACAAGTAGGGGTCAAGTTCCTGCTTCTAAGTTACAAGGGGTCAGGAGACCTAGAGGAAGGGGTAGGAGGAGGTTTTGGGCCTGAAAAATCATCCCCTTCCCTCCCATCCCTTCCTCTTGGAGACCTCATACCTCAGGGTTTGGCCACACCTTTGGGTTATGGTGAAGGGCATAAAAGGAGAGTGTGATTGAGATACCTGTGGGGTGGGAGGAGACAGAGAAAAGACTGATTATTCCTGTGCTCTGGGTTCCTGGTCCCTCAGCCAGGAGGACAGACATGCACAAAAAGTTTGTATGCCACAAGCTATCATTTTGAGCATGGTGATCCTGTTGCAAAAGATATGGGTGGACTTGGTAAATAAACTACCTGAACATAGGCAAGGAGCAGAAAATCATGACGCTAAGAGAGAATCAAGAAAGAACTGTACCTTACTTTTTGGAATAAGTCAGGTAAAAACTTATGTTGATAAAGGGTTTCCACTAAGGAGCATATGTTGATTCATTTAGTCCTCACAATAACCCTCCAAGAAAGGCATTAATAGATCCCTGTTTTTCAGATGAGGCAACTAAGTTTCAGAGGCATTGTCACTGATTGCACAGGCAGGATGTGGCAGGGCTGGATTCAGGCCTACTGGGGGTGTGAACCAGCAGGTCTTCTACTACCATGGCAAGGTTCTCAGATTTGGCTATCAGCTGCTTTTGCTTTCAACCGGGGGGCTTCTTCGTAACTGGACTACATCTGACCCATGACACAGAATTCCATGATCATTTGTCTTGACTCTAGACAATACCCTAGACATATCTAGACATATCTCTTAGCCCATATCTGACTCTCTTGTCCTCCTCCACATTTTAGGGAATAGAATTTTAGAGGCTAAAACCTAAAGGCTAACATTTCTTGGTTGAGAACGTTCCAGATTAAATTACATCATATTTACTGATATATGTAAATATACATATATATTATATGCAAATATATGATATGTATGTAATTATATATTTCATCAAGTATCAATTCATTATATCAAATATAGAGTATGATAAAAAGATATGACAATGGAGACACATAAAAGACAAGTATGGTCACAAATCATAGAGTGTTAGTATCTAGAATTGGATTCTAGAGTATTAGAATAAAAGCGTATCACTACCACCAAACTGGAATTAACTGCAGCATTGTTAGACTATGGATTCTGAAGAAGAAAGAATGCTAGCTGAAGAACAGGAGAAGCATAGGTGGTAGTTGTGTAGGATGTCAGAATTAGAAGGAACTTTATAGGTCACTTGGGCTTGAGTTCTACATGGGAAAATGTATTCTATGAATACGAAGAATTCATTTATTAACAATAAAGACTGAACCAGATTAAGAACTGCTAAAACACATGTAGATTTCTAATTCTTTCTTATCCTTGAGGAAAGCTTGGGGGATTCTGGGAAAGTTATACCTTTGGGTACAGAGTTTCCATCAGGAAAGGTTACAGGTTTTCTGAGCTCTCTGACAACAGCTGGAACTGGTGGATAGATCCTCAGGGCCTCCTTGATGCACATGGTGGTATAGGGCATCTGGTCCAGGTGTTCCCTGAAATGAAGCCCATCCTGAAGGGCAGGAAGGGTCCACAAAAACCAAAGTCTCCCCTACAAAAGAGGCTGTGCTATCCTACCTCTTGAGCTTTTACTTACCAAGTGATGGAGGATCCATCTCCCAGCAGGCTCTGGACCTCCTCCCTGCACATCTGTTGATGCTTGGGGTGCATGGCAAGAGCATAGAAGATCCAGGAGATGCCGCTGGTTGTGGTATCATGGCCCTCAAACATGAAGGTGTCCACCTCAGCACGCAGATCCTTGTCAGATAAGCTACTTCCATTCTCCATCTGGGATGGGACACAAGCAGCCCAAGAGAGTTTGTTCCTGCTCTGTGATTTTGATCAAAACTTTAGGCCTCTCCCATTCACACTCACTCTGGCAAACAGGAGGATGTCCAGGAAATCCAAGTGCCTCTTTTTTCTGACCTTCTCCAGCTCTTTGACATCCTTCAGCTGAGCCTTCCTCTGCCTTATTACTTGGTCTATTACAGAACAAAAGTTACCAGGTAGAGCCAAGAGCTACAGAAACCTATAGTGGTCTCATGTGTATGCAAGCCCTCCTGACCCAATCTGAAAGTTCTGTGGAGTTGCAGATGGGTGTGGTGTAGGGGGCAGGAGTGGGAATTCAGCACCCTTTGATGCAAGAGCACAGCTCACAGAGCCTTGCATCAGTGTTGCTTAGCATCACCAACGTGAGAATGCAGGATGTTCTCACACACTACCTGACACCTTCACATCTCAGCTCCCTTGCACTAGGGAAGGACCAGCATGAGTGTGTCTCAGGTTCTGAGGGGCACCAGAGGCCTGGCTTTGTCTGAAGACTTGCCATCCAGTCCTACTGGGCTAAGTCTGGTAACAGAGGGGCACAGGAGGAGGGGACAGAACCTGTGTGCTCATGGGCAAGCTGGCTGGCATATTTGGATCTTCGGCCATGGGAAGACAAACTGTAGATGGTGTCATTCTGGTAAAAGATGTTCCTTACACGGAAGAAAAACAGGTCGTTCAGTTCCCCAATGGCTTGGATGTAGGAGTGAGAATTCCTGAGGGAGAAGATACAAACAGAGTGAGGTGGAAGGAGGCCTGACCTGGAGGTCGAATGGGGATTCCCTTGAATGTGGGGACACAAAACCCTGAGGTACTTGTTACTTCTATGATATGGCCCTTGTGACTCTCTGGCCTTTAGAAGATGGTGTAAGTGGCTTGTCTTCCAGACATGTAAGGACTCAGGGGTATGTGGTGGGGCAGGACTGGATGCAGGCTGCAATTACAATTGGCCTGGGGCTAGAGCCAGAATATTTCTTTGTAGTAGAAATAGTGCAAAGCAAATGTGGCTGGATGCACTAGGTATGTTGCCCCATGTGACTCTCGGGTGAATCCATATAGGCAGCAAGAATAAAGCCCTTTCAGCTGAAAGGCTGTCACTGACCCGGCCAGCTGGACACTGCCCTGGTAGCTGAAGGCGCACTTCATGATTGAGTCCAGTGTCATCAAGGAAACGTGTTGAAAGATCTCCAGAGGGGAGTCCTGACCAGCAAGCTGCTCCCATTTGTCCTGTGGTGGGAGGGTAACTTTCACTTTCATGTTTTCTCCAAAATTTCTGGTTTAAATAGATGAGGCTCCCCCCTATTTCCACATTCTCACAAATGATTTAAAAATTAACTATAACATTCTATAAGATCTGAAATAAATTTGGAATTTTGACAACCAGCTATATTCTTCCTTTATTTTTGATCAGCAAAATATACTTTCAGGAGATAAAGGTGAAGAAGATGCTTCAATGTTCCAAGAGTTGAACTTGACCTCAGGGACTAGCAGGACTCCAATTTTAGGAGACAACCATGTCAAAGCAAAAGAAAACCCAAATTTTCACTGCAGGCACTTCTAATGGGGGCCAGCAGGAACTTTGATTCTTGTTTACTCATTAAAAAGTTTGCTGCAAACAATTGGGTCCAAATCAAAATCCTGTTGAGACTTGATGAGATGGCAGGGTGGCAGTGAGAATGCAGCCCTACTGTCCATTTCACCGCATGTGTTACTCAAAATCTACTCAGGAATGGTGTGGTCCAGGCAGTTAAGTGCTATGTTGAGAGGCTCTGTGGGCCCCTGAAGCTGCTGCTGCCTCAGGCCAGCCAGGGGCAAGTAGTCTTGCTGTTTGGAGGGACTGACTCCTCCTCTAGTCCACTATGCTGAAGACCTGGAAGTGGATGGTGGGTCCTGTACCCACCATGATGCTCTGCCATGGGCAATGAGCACCAGGGAGTGGCTTCACCCTGACGCTTGGGTCCTCCTTGTCCTATGAACTGTCACAGGGATAACTTAAGAGTATTATTCCATATGACTGTCTGAGGACACACATGTTTGAGACCAGCATGTGAGTGTGTGCTATGAGTGTGCAAACAGATGAGAGACAGACTCACCAGCATCACTCGGACAGAGTTGGCCATGATTTCCACATAAGGCTTAAGGATGTCATAGTGAAAGGCTGGAGTCAACATCTTACGGTGCTGGAACCATGGCTGGTCGTTCAACAGGAGCAAACCATAGCCTGGGGCAGAGATAGGGGCGAGTGTGTGTGTGTGTGTGTGTGTGTGTGTGTGTGTGTGTGTGTGTGATAGAATAAGATCCCTGGGATAATTTGGGAGGAAATTATCTCTGGAACTATGATGTGGAACTGGGGAAGACAACCCTGAGAAAGGTGGAATTTCTTGGACAAAGGCAGGAAGGACATGGCACACTCAGGAATGTGGATTTCCCAATTGGGCTGCTCTGTCTGCTGTGATTATGCCAACTCTTAGATAAAGGTTAAAATAAGCATTGGGGTTAGGTCAAGGAGGTGCATAAATAAATGCCAGGTAGGACCGTTTGAAGACATATGGCAGAAGCTGATCTTTAGGAGGGCTCATTTCAGTATCAGGAAGGGATAAGAGTCTGACAAGAAGAAGAAAAATGAGGGTTGCTTTAGGAATGATTGATGACAGTGGGGACTGGGTACCTGTTGTTCTCTGTAAGTCAGAGAAATGACACTTGGAAAACTTAACGGGGCAATAACTGTACTCCTAATTTAGAGAAACATACCGATCCAGGGTGCCAGGAATCTGTAGGAAGAATTGTCCTTTGGATCTGAAAGGTAAGCAAGGGATTAAAAGGAAACAGAACCAAGTAAATGTGACCCTGAGCAAACTGTTGTTCAGACAGTGGGATGTCAGGATTCTTGATGACTACCAGGCGGCAGTCTGTGCTACATCACCTCCCATTGCTTCCAAGCCCTTCTAAATTTGTCCTGATGGTCAGTTTGACTAGGGAAGGTAGGCTCCTTATACTAGAGGCTGAACACTCCCAGGACTGTGAGGAGGAGCTGGGAAGAAGCCATAGCTACAGCCTCAAAGCCAAGGAAAGAAATGGAGCATGCTGGTTTTCTAGCATGGATACTGACTCAGTCATCTCATGACATAAGACAGGCAGCAATTAGAGGTTTCAAACCCAAGTTGGTGTAGATACAAAGTTTGTTTTCAGATTTAGATCAGTAAATATAACAGAACTCCTTCATTTGATTTTAAAAAAGAAAGGTAAAAAGAAAAGAAAATTGGCTCCACACAGTTGTTTTAAAACTTCAGTACTGAGTAAGAATTGTTGGCCAAATGCTGACTTGTGGTCTGGGTAAATGTTTGTTGTGTTTAGGGTTGATGGCTGAAGCATCCCTCTGGGCTGGAATTTGATGGGTTGGTCTGCGGCATACACCACAGAGTGGGGAGCTTCTCTTGCTAGAAGGAGGCTTCCCTCTCACCTGATCTCCCTAGGATCACTTTCATGTAGTCAGGATCGTAGATCATCAGGTGAGCTTTACTTCCCCAGAACCAGCGAGGAAAGGCGCTTGGGAATTCCTCTACCCATTTCAGAATCTGCTGCAGCTCTTGTTCCGGATAGACCTGTCATCAAGGGAAAGACAAATCAGCAAGTATTTTTGCTTAGTTAGTTCTAGCCCTTGCAGTGAAGTGAAGGGAAGCTTGTGGGGCTGAGTGCAGAGATGCTCATGGTGCTTTGGGCTCAGGATTGCTGCCTGGTCCCTCGCCTGGCCTGTTTTGTGGAGGAGTGCCTGCCCACTCATGGGAGGGAGTGGCTGTGGGCTAAGCTTTGTTATCAGCTTATCAGGTTAATTATCACTTTCATATCTTCAAGCATTTACTTCTTTTTTTATTATTGTGCATTTTCCTCTGCATCGCCAGTGCCAGGGGCGTATTTGCAGATCCTTCAGCCAAAGTGAGACGTTTGGAGCTGGTTGCCTGACCCATCTAGGTTGTCATCCAGAATTTGCTGTCTCCTGGGACTTCCATGAGCCACATTCTGTGCCCCACTAGATGAAGCTGTGTGCACGGGAGAAGCCATGGGCATCAGAGACTCATCTCTCCATCCAAGCTTCATATTTTTCATCTCTCCTTAGTTGTAATCAATGTGCAGTCCCTCGCTGAGCTCCTCTCCCTGCAGTTCCTTATCTAGTCAAGCAGTGGCTTTGCACGGAGTTGTTGCTGCCACTCTTCACCCCGCACCCTGGGCTGCTTTTTTCTCTCCTTCCTGGGGTTTGCCACAGACCTGTGCCAACTCCACTGAGCTCATAGCACAGGGAGAGCGGAGGCTGAGCTGGTGGCTATTAACACTGTTTAATGAGTAACTCTAATGTCCGTCTCCCTCATCACCAGGAATTGTGCTGCTGTTTCACTCTGACTTTCAGTATATTAGCCTCCAATATCACTCACTGTGGAGATTTCCTCAGATGTGGGCAAATCTAGCTACTTGGTCACTCCACCTGATGTCAAACATGCTCCCTGTTAGTTTGCCAGTGGCGTGACACCTTCTGAGATTCATGTTTACCATGAGCCCCACAGGGCAAGGATCCCATCACACTGGTATCTGCATTCCCAGACAAGCTCAGGCCCAGTCACAGAGGTTGGCCTCAAGTGACAGGAGCAGGGTGGAAACCTAGTCCTAAACCAGAGGTGCTTTGAAGCCTGGCTGGTTCCAGTACTCTGGGATCCTATGGCAGGATTCACAAGTCTGAGTTCAGCCAAGGCAACTCAGAGACTAAGCAAGGCCCTGTCTCGAAGTAGAAAATTAACAAAGTCTGGTTTGTTGAAAATAGCTGAGGGAGCTAGGGGGTTGCTCAGTGTGGAGGAGAAGAAACTCAGAAATGGCCAGTCATAGTCCCTCCAAGTACAGAGCTGCCAGGTCAGGTGACAGATCTGCTTAAGGGAGGGGGCTGTGGCAGAGCCAAGTCACAGCTGAACCAGCTGCTTGTGAAGGAGTGAGCCACCTGAGGCTGAGATGAGCCCAGCCTGAGAGAGACGCTGGATATTCCTTGAAGGCTACATGCTTGCTAATGTGGTAGATTTGTCCTGCAAATTGCTGGCCAGGCTCCAAGAGCCCCAGCTTCCTTACAATGCCTCTTCCTGCTTCTTCTTACCTTGTTCCCAAAGAGCCAGTGTGAGGGTGGACACGGGAACTGCTGGAGAGCTTTTAGTAGCCACTGTCTGCGAAGATAGAACTGGGCTGCCTTGAACAGCAGCAGCAGGAGGCCAAGCAGGGAGACCACTTGGAGGAGCCCAGAGATGCTGCCTGGGAAGCTGGTGGGGCTGAGTGCAGAGACACTCATGGTGCAGTGGGCTCTGAATCGCTGACTGGTCCCTCTGCCTGGCCTGTTTTGTGGAGGATTGCCCGCCCACTTGTGGGAGGGAGCAGCTTCAGGCAAAGCTTTGTTATCAGTTTATTAACTTGGACAATCTACCTTTCAGGACAGAAAATGCTTTGTCAGCTGACTGTGGTATCATCTCACACACAGCCACTCCGCCCCCCATATCATGCCCAAATATTTATTTATTCACTTATTTCTTTATTTTCCTTTTAAAATTGAATGTCATTTATTATTATTTTTATTTGTATGTATGCACAGGGCACAGTGTGATATTTTGATACAGTATGTTTTGATCAAATCAGGTTAATTATCATTTGCATATCATTAAGTATTTACTTCTTTTTTGCTATTGCAAAAGTTTTATGTTTTAATTATCAAACATGATTGCCAGGAAAAGATAGCTATACTGCTAAAGCAGTATCTCAAGTGAGGGTCCCAGGCATTGGACTTCTTCCCACATGTTTATTAAGGCTACAAATTTATTCACCCAGAGGAGAGTTCCTTAGATTCCCTCAATAAATCCGGAACCTACATTTTTTCCTCTGCATCACCAGTGTCAAGTTCTTCCAATAGATGGTAAATGACTGCTAATTCAGACATCTAAACACTGATTTCTAGCTCCTTCCAGAAAGGTCGGCTGATCAGTCTCATAGGCAGCCAGGGACTTTTGGTGGCCCGGCTGTGGGGGCAAGTCCTGTACTGCTCCATGAAGAATCCAGTCATTGTGGTTGTGCACATGTACTAGCTCCTGATTCCTTAGACAGAGATTTTTCACTTCAGCTCACAAGATTTTTCTTGTAGCTTCTCCTTTCCTTAGCACATTATTAATAGATTCTTTTGTGTCTTTGCTTTGGACTGAGTGAGACTCTTTCCTGTCTTTGTGGTTAGCAGGGTCAGCCACGATGTTCGGGATTGCATCATTTCCACCACTTCAGATAAATCTGGGCTCTTTTGGCAAGGCAGCAAGTGGTGTGAACCTGGGCTTCTTTAACATCCTCTTTTCTGATGGTGGAGGCTTTCTTACTACTCTTCTGTCATGAATGGTGGAGATTCAGCTCATGTGGGGCCATGCTCCACCCTTCCTGCAACATGGACTTCAGGTTTCCCCACTGCTATCTTTGATCTGCTGGAGCAGGATGGATTTCCTTCAACCTTTAGGCATCTTCTCATTGGTTTTTAGCCCTTCTGCTTCAGGAGACATTTTGATTGTTCTCTTCTTCTACTTAAAGTCTGGGGACCTGATCACTCTTCTACCTTTTGTCTTGGTCTTCCTAGGTGTGCTAGAACCATGGTGGAGAACTTACCAGTGTGACCAGAGGAATCTGCCATTTTCCTGCCTTCCACTTAAAAGGCTGTCTCCCTCCCTCCCTCTCTTTCTTCCTCCCTCCTTCCCTCCCTTCCTCCCTCCCTCCCCTCTCCCTCCCTTCTCTCCCTCCCTCCCTCCCTCCCTTCCTTCCTTCCTTCCTTCTTTCCATCTTTCTTTCCTTTTTTCATTCCTTCCTTCTCTCATTCCCTTCCTCTGTCCCTCCCCCTCTTCTTTTTTTTTCCACAACCTGTAAAGACACAGAAGAGAATGTCTAGAACTGCTTCAGAAAATGGCAAGAATTATGAGATAAGTGTGTTTTAAATGAGAGGGGTTATTTTGTAGAGGAATTCAGGATGTATGGTTTTTTACTACAATAAATTTAAAAAAATTAAACATTCACCAGATTTTGACTACACCTGATACAATTGACCTATTTTGAGGTGGTTTCTGTAACTGGTGAGAAATATATGGGTCTGGTTTTAGTCTTCTTATGGATATTCAGTTTTCCCACAACCTATTTGTGTCCTTTCTCCAATGTGTATTTTTGACACCTTGTCCAAGACGAGTTAGATGTAGATATGTGGATTTATTGCTGAGTTCTTTCTTCTGTTGTATTTGTTTATGTGGTCATCTTTATGCTAGTACCATGCTGTTTTTTTTGTGTTTGATTTTTAAAAAAACTTTATTTATTTATGTGTGTGTGTGTGTGTGTGTGTGTGTGTGTGTGACCAGCTCAGCCCACCAGGGGGCAGGGCTGGCTGGCATGTGGTGCTGGGGATTGAACGGTGGTCCCTGTGCTTTGCTAAGCTTGTTCTAAGTAGATGCTTTAGACCACTGAGCCATCTCACCAGCCCTACCATGCTGTTTTGTTACTATAACTTTGTATACATTTTCTGGTCAGGTATTACAAAGCCTTCAACTTTGCTCTTTTTGCTCAATATTGCTTTGGTTATTTGAGGTCTTTCATTTTTCCATATGAATTTTTGGTGTTTTTTTCTGTTTCTGTGAAGAGTGCTATTGGTATTTTGATGGGGTCTGCACTGAATACATGAATCACTTTAGGTATCATGGGCTAATATTTTAGTATTATTTAGTGTTCCAATCCATATATATGGGATCTCGTCACAAGTTTTACATTTGCAATTGCTTTCAATGGTGACTTGTAATTTTCATTGTAAAGATCATTCCTCTTCCTTGTTAAATATATTCCAAGGTATTTCATTTTATTTTTATGGCTATTGTGAGATGCTTTCTTTTCTTTTCGAGAAAACCATTATTGGTGTACAAAAATGCTATTGCTTTTTGTTTGGAGATTTTGTGTTCCTTAAGTTTACTGAACTTGTTTATCAGTTCTAACTTCTTCATGGATTCTAAAGGCATTTCTAGATATAAAACCGTGTCATCTTTGATAAAGGATAACTTGACCCCTTCTTTTCTTTTCTTTTTTTTTTTTTTTTTAGTTTAGCACTGTTTATTTGTGATCTCAGCTGTGGTCGTAGCTGCTGCGAGTCAGCCTGTACTCAAAACATAACATGCTCTTCCATTCTTCTTGTCCAGCACAGAAGGGTCTTCCAGGAGGCACACCAACAGAACAAGGGACTCCGATGATGCCAGCTTCAATGATGGTGCCATCCAGAGAGGGAGAGGGTCATGGCACATTCAACCGCGGCTTCCAGATGTTTGGAAAAAGGAGCCTTTGGGGGCCCAGCCTGCCTGGCATTTTGATGCTGTCGGTGTGAGTTTTGTATTCCATAATGGTGTTGGGAGGTAGGGTAAGCACGCGCCGAAGTATGTCCCGGATTCGGGCTGTGGTTGCTTGGTCACTGGCAGTCTTATTCCATATGGAAATAATGTCCTCCTGGAAGCGGACAGAGACCACAGCCCCACAGATCTCCTCCCCAACCATGAACTGTTCTCCCAGCAGGGCCAGGATGAGATTCTCCCAGCACTGGGAGGCCAAGCCCTTCCGCAGCTGAATGATCCATTTGCCACCATTTTTATTTGCATCATCCTCCCACATGGGTTTAATTCCTTCTTTGAAGAGATGGAAGTCACTGTGTCCTGTCAGGTCCCCAGGACGTACCATGTGTCTATGAAACCTCCAGAACTGCTCCACAGAGGCAAAGGTGCCGATCTGCTTGATATTCTGTTCATAGCTCTGTGAGCTGGTGGGACGGCCTGGGGTTCTCCTGGAGTACCAGAAAGTGTAGTTGTACTGCAAGGGATGTTCTGCTGGTCCAGGGACAACAGCCTTCCTCTTGCTGCTGCTGACCCTTTTTTTCTTATTTGGATGTCCTTTATTTCTTCTGCTTGCCTGGTGCTCTAAGACTTCCATTACTATGTTGAATACAAGTGGTGACACGAACAACCTTATCTTGCTCCAGATTTTAGCAGAAATAATTTCACCTTTTTGCCATTCAACAGGGTGTTGCTTGGGGGTTTGTCACATGTAGCCCTCATTGTGTTGAAATAATTTTTTTCTAGAATCAATTTTTTGAGGACTTTTAAAATAAAGAAGGGATTAAGAGCAACTTTTTCATTTTGAATTTTTATATAGGTATGAATATGAGTATTGTAATTATGCATTAGATCCAAAGAATGTCTGAAGGCCTCAGTTAGTCTTTAATGATATCCCAGTATTTGGTTTTGAGGAAAATAAATGCAAATTTTTTCAGTGAAAAGAAATAAAATAAAGAGGGGGGCTTCCAGGTTAGCTCAGTTGTTTAAGGGCCTGCTCTGGCAAACCCAGTCAGGCACAGGGGACCCTAGTTCGATCCCCAGCTCCACCTGCCTTACCAGACCTGCCCTTAAGGCTGCCTGAGCCAGCCAGCCAGCCA